ATTCCATCTTGTGATGAAACCAAAAGACAACTTTAAAATAGAAAATTATCAATGTAAACCTGAATGTAATATTTAACCTTCATTTTTTTAGAGCAGCTACAATTTCTGTGTGGATTTTTGTCTATAGGTCGCAATTGAATGCATCACCTTCACATGGTCAAATAACCCTGCTTTGCAAGGCCTTCCTGAAGGCTCAGGCCCCATGCTTAGGTCCCACCCGCTCTACATCACCACTGTGATTATTTAATTTTCCCATCAGTTATTAGACAAACTCATCCTGGTGAGACTCACTGAGCTCAGCCTTCTGTCCTGACAATGAAGTTCTAAACTTCTGTTTTTATCTGGAGACAAATATTTAAACAAAAATCTGATTGGATAACTGTAATAATGATTAAAAGCAAAATTCGTGTTCAGCTGCAAAGTGGTTTACATAAACTACAAAAAAAAATTCAAAGATAAGAATAACTGTATAGAAAATATTTATTTTACATAAAATAAATATTTAATGAAAAATTTAAAGGTAACATCATATGTGTTGAATTCTTAAGACCTAACTGAAGACGTTGAAGGCCCTGAGGGTTCCCCTCTGGCTATTAGTCTACAAACCAGTTTTTCATATTTAATGGGTAAAATCAGTATGATTACGGTATTATTAAGTCTGTATAGATCTGACAAAAACGCCATCCGAATACTGATATATCTCTTGTGTAAAACCTTTATATTTCCAGAGTTATGAGGAAAAATACTACAAACCGGATTCCAAAAAAGTTGGGACACTAAACAAATTGTGAATAAAAACTAATGCAATGATGTGGAGATGGCAAATGGCAATATTTTATTTGTAATATAACATAGATGACAGCTCAAAAGTTTAATCTGAGTAAATGTAACATTTTAAAGGAAAAATATGTTGATTCAAAATTTCACAGTGTCAACAAATCCCAAAAAAGTTGGGACAAGTAGCAATAAGTGGCTGGCAAAAGGAAATTGAGCATACAACGAACAGCTGGAAGACCAATTAACACTAATTAGGTCAATTGACAACATGATTGGGTATAAAAAGAGCTTCTCAGAGTGTCAGTGTCTCTCAGAAGCCAAGATGGTAAGAGGATCACCAATTCCACCATTGTTGCGCAGAAAGATAGTGCAGCAATACCAGAATGGTGTTACCCAGCGTAAAATAGCAAAGACTTTTAAGTTATCATCATCAACCATGCATAACATCATCAAAAGATTCAGAGAATCTGGAACAATCGCTGTGCGTAAGGGTCAAGGCTGTAAAACTCTATTGGATGCTCGTGATCTCCGAGCCCTTAAATGTCACTGCACCTCAAACGGGAATGCCACTGTCAAGGAAATAACAGAATGGGCTCAGGAATACTTCCAGAAAGCATTGTCAGTGAAAATCCACCGTGCCATCCGCCGTTGCCAGCTGAAACTCTACAGTGCAAAGAGGAAGTCATTTCTAAGCAAGCTCCACAAGCTCAGACGTTTGCACTGGGCCAGGGGTCATTTAAAATGGAGTGTGGCAAAATGGAAGACTGTTCTGTGGTCAGATGAGTCACGATTTGAGGTTGTTTATGGAACACTGGGACGCCATGTCATCCGGACCAGAGAGGACAAGGATAGCCCAAGTTGTTATCAATGCTCCGTTCAGAAGCCTGCATCACTGATGGTATGGGGTTGCATGAGCGTTTGTGGCATGGGCAGCTTGCATGTCTGGAAAGGCACCATTAATGCAGAGAACTATGTTCAGGTTCTAGAACAACATATGCTCCCATCTAGACATCATCTCTTTCAGGGAAGACCCTGCATTTTTCAACACGATAATGCCAGACCACATCCTGCAGCAATCACAACATCATGGCTACGTAGGAGAAGGATCCGGGTACTGAAATGACCAGCCTGCAGTCCAGATCTTTCACCTATAGAGAACATTTGGTGCATCATAAAGAGGAAAGTGCTACAAAGAAGGCCCAAGACAATTGAACAGTTAGAGGCCTGTATTAGACATGAATGGGAGAGCATTCCTATTTCTAAACTTGAGAAACTGGTCTCCTCTGTCCCCAGACGTCTGTTGAGTGTTGTAAGAAGAAGGGGGGATGCCACACAGTGGTAAAAATGGACTTGTCCCAACTTTTTTGGGATTTGTTGACGCCATGAAATTTGGAAACAACAGATTTTTCCCTTAAAATGATACATTCTCTCAGTTTAAACTTTTGATCTGTGATTTGAGTTCTATTCTGAATAAAATATTAGATGTTGGCACCTCCACATCATTGCATTCAGTTTTTATTCACAATTTGTTTAGTGTCCCAACTTTTTTGGAATCCGGTTTGTACATTATATAAGTTTAAGTAAAATTTACTGTAGACTCTAGTAGCAGAGTTCTGGTTAGATAATTTAGACCGGAAAATTACTTAATTGCTTTAAGTGCAGTTACAGTGAGCAGGGGTCGACATAAACAGTGTCCGTTTGTCCATGAGTACCTATTGTCGTTTCACCCTGCCTGATCTTCCCTCAAGGTTGTCTGCTGTACATGTAGATTAAAGTTTGCCGTCGATGCAGCAGACTTCCATTTTCTGTAAAAATGAAAGGGGGAAAAAAAACTTGTGTCTTCCTGCGGTCTTCTTAAAGCCAGGGCCGGCCAAAGGCATAAGTGAACTAAGCAGCTGCTTAGGGTCCTGGGGCCACTATGGGGCCCCTTAAGTGGAATCACAGGTTTTAGGAAGTTTGTGAAGTATTAAGGAAAAAGTAACAAACAGGTCAAATGTGTGGGTAAATTTTAAGATCGGCTTTTACAAAATGCATACATTTTTATAGTTTTAAGAACTAATTATTCAACTTTTAAAAAATTTAAAACCATTTTACATGGTTTCAAGTAATTGTTCATTTACATTAATCAAGTATTTACCTGATATTCTATCCATCCATCCATCCATCCATCCATCCATCCATCCATCCATTATCTTTTACCTGCTTCTTCCATTTTGGGTCACGGGGGTCGCCGGTGCCCATGTCCAGCAGTCACTGTGCGAGGGGCGGGGTACACCCTGGACGGGTCTCCAGTCCATCACAGGGACACATAGAGACAAACGAGACAAACAACCATTCACTCTCTGACTCACACCTAGGGACAATTTAGAGTTACCAATCAGCCTAACATGCATGTTTTTGGTTGCTGCTTAAAGCCATCCGATCTAATGATGATAATGATGATAACTTGATGCTGCTTTCAACCAGTAAAGAGAACAAGAGCCACAGTTTGATCCAATCAGAGCAGAGCAGAGCGGGGCCTGCTGTCTGGTTCATGGTGGGTGATCGCAGTGTTCCTAACTTAGAGACAGACTGCAGGTGAGAGCACCAATCAGTGATTCCTGACTGTTTTCCAAGGAGGACACCCCACTAACCTAACCGAAGTTGATGACATGTAATAAATTATTAATTAAACGTCTAAGTATTAAACGTATGTGTTGTCACTAGACCAATTCACTGCAGCCAAGGGAGATACCAGAACTGATACACCATCACTCCATCCCCAACTCCCGCACCAAACCCCAACCTCCTCAAGATTTTATATCTAAAGTCTAACTTCGTATTAAATGCTAATGTGTTCGGAGTGTCATCATCATCATACAGTCAAAGTCAAAGTTTTTTTATTTGTTGTTTGCACCACATGTGGATGCTCTCCACTGCACACCTGTAGAAGGAGGTGAGGACTGAGCTTCCCAAACCAGCTCGTCTCAGCCGTCTGAGGAAGTAGAGTCTCTGATGAGCTTTCTTGATCAGGCTGGTAGTGTTGTTGCTCCAGCTGAGGTTGTTGTTCAGGTGCACACCCAAATACTTGTAGCTGGAGACCACTTCCACCACATATCCTCCTATATTCAGGGGTGGGGGAGATAGGTATGTTTGTTCTATCTGAAGTCCACGACCATCTCCTTTGTCTTCTTCACATTGATGCGAAGGTTGTTCTTCCTGCACCAGCTCTCCAGGTGTTCCACCTACAGACATGTGCGACCGGCACGTGCCGGCAAGATTCTTTCAAAGTGCTGGACAACCTGGAAAATGTCCTTATGTCTACCCCGGTGGAGCTGTGGTAGCCCAGTGTACAGTGCTGCAGTCTTGTAATCGTGAGGTTGCCGGTTTCAGCCCAAGTTGAATCAGAAAGGACATCCATTTTAAAACAATTGCCAAATCTTTCATGTGAGTGTGGACGCTGTGGTGACCTCTGCAGAGAGCAGCTGCATGAAATGTACTTACTAAAATACAGTTACAGTTTTGTATGTTCTAAATGATTACAGCTGTGACTGGTTGAGCCAGCAGGAATCAGCTGTAAACTGGACCATGGACTGATCCAGGGTCAGCTCCAGGTTCAACACGGAGACAAAGAGATGACCTCAGAAAATTTACACTAATAAAACTTGAGCATGCTGGTCATGAAAGCGTTCAATCACAGCGCAGCACCTGCAGCTCAGTTGGATCCAGCCGCATGAAGCATGTGACAGCTTGTAGACTCTGACTGTTAGAAACATTGAAACCCTGCAGAACCCGACCCGAACACAAACAAACTCACACTGATTGTGCTCGTCAGAGTTGTGCAACAATCTGCTGCGCAGCGACACACGGGAAGCAGGAAGGAGAAGCACAGAAACAGAAGAAGAAGAAGCTGCAACTCGCAGACAGCCTGTGTGACGAAGAGCCCAACAGATTGAACATGTGCTGAGGCAGTTTTCCCTGCAGTTTTCTAAGTGCACGTTGGCCTGTCTCACACAGACAGTTGGCACATCAGGTGAGGCAGCGTCCTGTTTGTGGACAAACATCAGCTGGAAACATCAGCTTCACCTTTTCACAGGTGTAGAGCTTCCTGGAGTTCTTGCTGTCCAATGTTTTCACTGTAGTTTTGTTTTCCAGCAGCAAATAAACAGTTAAGGTCAGGATAAACAACAGCAAATCTGTCCTTGTCCACCTCACTAACAAACTCTTCTTGTTTTGTGTCTCAGTGAGTCTGCACTTTGAGATTCTGTCTGAAGATGAGTGGCGGGAAGAAGAGGAGTGGCTTTCAGATCACCAGCGTTACCTCAGATTCATCCCAGCCGACCTCTCCAGCTGGCCGAACGTCCCCCAGCATGGTCCAGACCATCCAACCAGATCCCTTCTCCATCAGACACATTCTGGGAAGCTCCTCCCAGCCGACCACACCCTCTCCAACAAGGAAAAACATTTCCCATGATGCCTCGGGGCAGGGAGTGGGATGCTCCTCCAGGTTCAGGGTTGTGAGGCTCACAGGGGGAGGAGCTGGCCAAGGTGGGCGGAGCAAGTCGTATCAACGCGGAAGATGGACTTGCATGGAGTTCATGGAGAGACCGAAAGAGGCAGGGTTCCGGCGAGTAATGGACAGCATGAGACATGCTCACTCTCTGGAGTCTTTGGAGATGATTGGTCGAGACAAAGAAAGGGGAGGAGTCCACTCTCAGGACACCACCCACATGCTGACTAAGCCAGTCAACGGTACTGATGGGATTCTTCCGAGAAGCAGGCTTACTTCGCCAACAAACCAAGATCCAATCAGCATCCGGCTTCTAGACAGGAGCGAACCAATCAGTGTGCAGGGTCTAGACTCCACCCCTTCTCCTATTTCACCACGCCCACAAAATTTTCCTCAACCTTTACAGCTGGAAATGGACACCACAGTACGTGTACACACACACATTTATTACAGTGATTCTCTAAATGTACATGCTCCGCCCCCCTTCGGGGCAGGGGTTGCTTTTTTATTCTTCCCCTCTTTTCCATTGTTTTTATTTTGACAAAAAGGTGGTGGTGGGGGTGGGGGGGTGTTATGGGCACATTTTGTCTTGAACTGAGCATTTATCCAATACATTTTTTAAATTAAAATACAAACCAAACTTAACCAGAACCATAACTGCAGCCTCTGATTGCTCAAAAATAGAAAGTAAACTAAGTGTTCAGTCACTTCTAGAATCATAATAATACTGTTCAAATTGTACACAAAAACACAACAAAAATCCATGTATAAAAGTTTAATATTATCACAGTATTAATGGCTGCAATGAGTTTATTAAAAAAATAAACATTACAGAAACAACTATTTAAGTATCAGACGTCACCTTTTAGGCTTTAAGTCTTTGCGGTTTTGTGTTTTATCTTAATGATGATGACTTTTAAAGTGATGTTTCTTTCTGGGCTGATCAATGTTTCTGTAAAAAAAAAACCCACAGGCAGCTTTCTCATGGTTACTGAGGTGTGAAGTTTCAAAGAGTGTTATTAATATTTATTGACTTCATCCTGTCAGTAGACAGTTTTCAGATACAAACAGCTCTATTTTTATCTCTTACTCTTCAGTAAGAGTGGGATTTCTCCTGTCTTTGGCTTCTTTTAAACATTCATCGATTTTCAAAAACTGTGCAGCAGGTTTATATCTCCAGCAATCACTGTGTGAGATGCGAGGACACCCTGGACAGGTCACAAGTCCATCACAGGGACACTTGGAGACAAGACAAAAAACAGTCACATCCTCACTCATTTTACCGTTACCAATTACCCTAAATGATGAATAGGGCTTTAACAGACTACTCGAGTAATCTACACATTGATTCCTAGGACATCTATCGAGTTTTTTTATTTCACGCCGAGTATTTGTGGTGACGTCATTACGCCGCCGTTACGTCGTTGTGTCACGTGTAACATGATCTGCACCTGGCGCAGGTTACAAAATGGATTCCTCCAAGCAGACAGATGGAGCGGAGCAGGCCCAGTCTTGGCAAACAGGTAGAAATGCATCAATAGTCTGGAAATATTTCACTAAAAATGAATCTTCCAGTTCAACTACTGTAAGGAAACAGAAAATGAATCAACTTCCTGACTGTTTGGAGCTCGTTGCGAACCGGTGTTACACCATATTCTGTGACCAACGTATTTTGTGACCGTTGGGGGCGGTGTTGCATGCACTGTTGCAGGTCACAGAATATGGTAAATGGTAAATGGACTGCACTTATATAGCGCTTTTCTATCGTATTCTGATACTCAAAGCACTTTACAACACATTGTGTATCCTCATTTACCCATTCATACAGCACTCTACTAGATCTCTACAAAGATAATTGAACAAATCATTCTAAAGAGACTAATCAGAGCTTTGAGATCACATTCATACACTGATGGGACACACATCAGAGGCAATGAGGGGTTCAGTGTCTTGCCCAGGGACACTTCGGCATGTGACAGCTGGTGGATTCGAACCCTCAACTCTTGCATTGGAGGACGACTGCTCTAACCACTCAGCCACAGCCGCCCTAATGTAACACCGGGTCCAATCGACCGAACCAGAACCAGCTTCCTCTGACCTTGTTTCACAAACAAAAAGCAAAAAATATTAATTTCTACACCTACAAAAAAACCTATAAACATATTAATCTCTAACACTAAACCTAATACGCACCACATCTGGCGGTGGTGCGGGGTGGTCATCCGCCCCACTGTTTTTAGTTTTGTTTTTGACGTGCCACATGTTTCTTTTACTTTTGCAGTTTAATAATAATAACTAATAGTTTAGTTTTCCTGTGACTTATTTGCAGTATGGTACATGGTAGGAGCATAATATATGCTCCCAATGTTTTGTTTGTCTTTTACTTGTAAATAATGACCTTTTTTGCGGTTTTATTTATTTATTTATTTTTGTATTTTTAGATCCGATGATGTTATCAAGTACTCAAGTTCTACTCGAGTTTTATTATGTTAATGCCGAGTTTAAAAATTATGTAGTCATTCAACCCCTATTGATGAAGCCCACGTGTGCACGAGAACACAAATTTTACACAGACAATCTGGGAGGCTTATTTGTGATCTTCTTGCTGTGAGACAACAGCTCTAACCACTGCACTTCTGTGCCTTTGATTTAAAGCAGCGTTTCTTTTTTCCACAAGTCCACATTGAAGGCAAGTCACGAGTAAACACAATTAGCACATCATTTGTAGCTCACATCAATGGCCATAGCAGCACGGTGGTGCAGTTGGTAAAGATGCCTGTACGGGGTGGCTGTGGCTGAATGGTTAGAGCAGTCATCCTCCAATGTAACAGTTGGGGGTTCGATTCCACCAGTGTCCTTGGGCACTGAACTCCTCGTTGCCTCTGATGTGTGTCCCATCAGTGTATGAATGTGATAAAGCTCTGATTAGTCTCTTTAGGATGATTTGTTCAATTAGCTTTGTAGAGATCTAGTAGAGTGCTGTATGAATGGGTAAATGAGGACACAGATTGTGTTGTAAAGTACTTCGAGTATCTTGATAAGATAGAAAGACGCTATATCATGTGTCAATCTCAAGACCCAGGGGCCAAATGTGGCCCTCGTTGACACCTTATCTGGTCCCCAAGATATTATGTTAAACGTAAAATACTTTTATCACTTGAATTTTTTTCATTAATCTTTGATTATGTCGAAATTGCAACACAGAATGTCAAATGAGACCAATTAAATTTTTGTTGAGGAACCTGCTGCAACCAAGAAAATATGGGATTAACCTGTTTAAATAAAGGTAAATGTTGGGTATCTTATCTTGAGTTAATCTAGATTCTGAAACTGGCCCTTAGTTTGAAAAAGGTTTTAATTTCGGCCCCCTTTTGTAAGTGGGTTTGAGACCCCTGCGCTGTATAAATACAGTCCATTTACCATTTATACTGTACTGTACTGTACTGTACTGTACTGTACTGTACTGCCTTTCTATCTAGTCAACATACTCAAAGCTCTTTACAACAATCTGTGCCTCATTTACCCATTCATACAGCACTTTGCTAGATCTCTACAAAGATGTGCGGATGTTTTGGGTAAAACAAATTGACTCTTAAATTTTAAAGCTATGCACTTTCAACATCTACATGAATATTTAGATCCCCCAATTTTATGGCTGTGACATTACGTTCTGTGCCTCTTCCTCAGCAAAAAGCTCCTCCATTGGAGACTTTCTGGACAGATTGCAGGGAGGCGGCTCCTAAACAAACAACAGGTTCATCAATATTATCACTCATAAGAGATTATTAAAGGCATGATCATTATTAAAATTGAGAATGTATATAATTTCAGCTATCATACACTTACACTCTCCTCATCCTCCACTCCCTCATTCTCAGGCCTTTCCTCAGACTGCATGGTGACCCCATCATCTCCACAGTCTTCCTCTGCTGACCACAAAGAACATTACTAGTATTTAGATTTCAGATTTTAAAAGCAGAAAAGGTCAGTTGTGAATGACATTTCACCTGCTCAAACATCTTTCTCTGGATCTGGTCCCAGACACGTCATCCATCTTCTGTTTAAAGCACAGAGCAGCTCTTCTCCATCTTATAACAAGACGATTAACTTATTTGACAAGTGGTCCATGGTAGGTGGTGTGTACTTGGATTGATGGTTTTCACCATGTCCCTGCAAACATATAAACAAACATGTAATGTCACTGTTACTGTAACGTTAACTTAGGATGGACTATTAATTAGCTTAGCTCTATTGTTATTGCCTAACTAACCTAAATGTTGGTGACTCCACATCTGAAAAGGGATGTAACCTTTTCACAATATATGCTGTAACCATTCTGTGGCACTCTTCATGCAATTAGTTGCACTGACGTATTTCTCTTGGACGCTATGGTGAACGGAGGAGCCTGGCTAACATTATTAGCCATTTCAGGTCGTTTGTTTAAGAAAAAATACATGAGTTACCGTTAGCATGGTGTTTGCATTTGAGCTGACCTACCGCTTTATGTTGAGTATAACTTGTTGGTTGCCTTAATGTTTGTAGGAGACATAGTTTATAGTTTTATTTACCTGGTGGAGCTGGAGAAGGAGGCAGCGAAAATAGTCCGGCGGAGCGCGTCAAAGACGGGCCACTATTTTACTTCTACACCCTCCTTTGCACGATATAAAATTATTGCAAGTGCTGCACTGAGCTGACTGGTCATTTTATTAAAGTTAAGCCACGCTTTCAACTGCGGCTGCTCACTCTCCATGTATGGGAACACTTCCGGTGGATTCTTCTTTGTTGGCTTTCGGCGGGTGGCTTCTACTTCCGGTTGGCGGACTAGGCTTCGAAAATAGGAATCGAAAATAAATATTTCGAACAATTCCGGGAAAACCGGACAGTTAGTCCCGGTTCCAAACCATTCTCGATCCTCAATGCCCAACCCTAGCTATCACTGTGCGAGAGAGTTGCATTCAGGCCCAAAAAACTGATCCGACCCGGCCCCAGCCTGCAGTCATAATTGCCGAACCCGACCCGACGAATTAACAGTAATTACAGGTCCAAACCCTGGGAAAAAAAATACATTTTTAATTAGTTATTAACGGTCTGGGACACGCAGACGAATAAACGGGGCAGAAGATTCTGAGCTGGGAGGTGTTTGTACTTTCATGGGCGTAAAAAAACATTTAAACCCTGTTTCTGCCTGCATTCTTTTGAATTACTGAGACACGCAGACAGCTCTCTGACACATGCATCTGCTTTGTGATCTCATCTGTTTGGGTCATCGGCCGCATTTGCATGCCGCAAATGCATCGGCATTTATTTGTGTGTGTGGGTGGGGAGGGGGTTTGTTTACATTCTATTTTAAATAGCCCTCACAAGCAGAAAATATGATGTCACACGCAGTACATTGCATTTACAAAAGTAAAATATATAATACAGTATATGCATATTATATATATATATATATATATATATATA